GTAAAAACTAATTAAAACTAACTGAATTAAAAGAAAAAATTCAAAACGAAATAAAACTAAACTATAATGAACAATCCAAAACTATTAAAACCTTGTTTTGTGCACAGAGCAGCAGAATTTACCTCCAAGGGGGAGAAGTCATGGTTGATGAGAACCGCAAGACCCCCGACAGGAACAATCAGGAACTCCACCCTGAAACTGTCGTGGTTTCCATCATAGGTGGCCCTGAATTTCACGTAGATCAGGTAGACTGTGGCGTACACACAGCTGATGTAGATCACCTGGTTAAACGAAAACAAAAAAGAATGAGAGAAAAGTTCATATAAAGATACTAAAAAGTGCTTGTGTGAGTGAGAACTGGACAGGTATTTTACCTTCATGCTGGTGTTATACAGCGAGATGAACGAGGTGAGCAGATCCAGGTAACGTGTTGTAAACACGAGCGCAAACAGAATCTGGCTCTTTCCAGAAATACCTGAAACAAAACAAATATCAGCAGATGCACAAATTAKAGCTGAGGGTTACCGTCCAACATCAGACATGTCAGAACTAAAGGCTGGATGATTAGTTTTCATTAGAGCACAGTGACCTCTACTGGACATTAAGGAGAAGTTAGGCTTTTTGATTAAAACTCATCTTGCTTTGTATTTATAATGCAAAATTTCCAGAAAATGTCAAAAACCTGAGAAAAAAACAAATGAAAAAATTGATTTGACACTATGACATAATAGATTAGACATCATTAARTTGAAAAAGGTTAAATAAGTATACCTGCATTTGTTGAATACACTCATTAGGACAACTTGTCTCTTTAATAACTGAAGCATTGATCAAGYAAAAGGGTTACACTGTTTCCTTTTTAAACTGAAAACATTAACCCAGACTGAGGTTGTAGTTTATATAATTAGGTTTGATGATTTCAAAGTAAATTTTAGCACTTTGGCTACTTCCGTAGCTGCGTCCAGAACGCCACGTCAGAAACCAGACCAGAAAAATCGATCCCCGAACTTTAAGTTCACGAAGCAGGCTGCGTGTAGGAGCGATGAACGGAAACCGGTTCCCACTAAAACCCTTTACATTCACAATAGATAAACCTACTCATCTGGTAATTTATATCCTACAATACCAAACCCAAACAGACCGCATTCCTTCAGTCCACAGCGTTCAATCATCAATGAATGGCTCATGAATGAAAAGGAACGCTAGCCTGTTAAGCTAGCTGGCCTACAGGAATGCAAATCATAAAGACAGCAGATGATAAATAGATCAAGTTATTCACTAACGTAAAGAAAACCAAACCGTGTCTTTTCTGATTAGTAAAGCTTGGGCTCACCTGCGCACGACCTGCTTTTCCATATTTTCAGGAGGAGGATGATGATGGCAGCGAGATGAGAAAGGTCCCCTGTCAGTCTGAAGATGTTCATTTCTGCAGGATAAATAAACACCGCTAGAAGAAGGACGTCGAAGATCTCACTTCTTGTTTCGCTCCGAATCAGGCTGTGCACACCTTCTGCTGCCTCGTAAAGCCTCTCCCGGTAACTTTGTGCGGATACACGGGTCTGCTGGTTCCACAGAGTTGAAAATATGGCGAGAGTGCAGGTCGACGTGGAAGGAGGCGTGGCGGGACACAGAACCCGCTGCTGATTGGATTAAAACATGACTGACAGGCCAAATAGACCCGCCTACAAAAGATTGAAACGTTGCTGAGGAGGGAATATAACACTCTCAGACTTATCTTTAAAATCTTTTAGGGCTACTAAACATAAAGGTAAACATATGTTGACATATCTAAACTCTATCTATTTATCTATCTATCTATCTATCTATCTATCTATCTATCTATCTATCTATCTATCTATCTATCTATCTATCTATCTATCTA